TCTGGGAAAGTGACTTAGTGTGTGTGAACTCACACTGCTGAGAGCTAAGAGCTGTAATCCTTGAGGCTCATGTCTTTTGTGGGGTGAAACCCTCTCTTCTGAGCGTGTCACAGGAAGATCCCTTGCCTTGAAGAGCCCTTGTAATTGGCAAAAGACTCTGCTCCAGGACCTAAATCTCTGGCTAACTTACATGTACTAGGTATACCTCAGAGCTTAAAGGAGAGGAAGTTGAAACCCAGAAGAAAGCACAGACTTTTAGACTTTCTGTTTTTATCTATTTGTATACCAGACTACAAAGAACCACCTCACTTAGAAAAAATATAAGTATTAGATGAGATAAAGTTTATAAACTCTTTCAGCACTCAGGACGAGTAACTAGAAATGATAGAGAATCATTTCCACAGGGAGGGAACTCAGAAAGTACACTTCTGATTCTAAACACAGCAGCTTTACAGCTGAAGAGGAGCTGTTGGCATATTCTGGACTCAGTCAGTGGCAGCTACATTACAATCCCTGGCAGGAGGATACAATTTTCCCTGCTGGGTTTCAAGTTCAAAGGCCAGTCTCCTCCGTTAAGAATGGAAGGGCTTGGGGAATGCCTGGGTGGCTCATTCGGTTAAGCGTCTGCCTTCCGCTCAGGTCATGTTCCCAGGGTCCTGGGATCAAGTCCTGCATAGGGCTCCCTGCTAAGCAGGGAGCCTGCTTCTCCCTCTGTCTGCCGCTCCCACTGCTTGCACTCTCTCTCTCTCTCTGACAAATAAATAAATAAAATCTTTAAAAAAAAAGAGAGAGAGAGAGAGAATGGAAGGGCTTGGGGTGCCTGGGTCACTCAGTCAGTTAGGCATCCTACTCTTGATTTCTGCTCAGGTCATGATTTCAGGGTCATGAGATCAAGCCCCATGTCAGGCTCTGTGCTGGACATGGAGGCTGTTTAAGATTCTCTCTCTCCGGGGTGCCTGGGTGGCTCAGTCAGTTAAGCATCTGCCTCTGGCTCAGGTCATGATCTCAGGGTCCTAGGACTGAGCCCTATGTTGGGCTCCCTGCTCAGTGGGGAGTCTGCTTCTCCCTCTCCCTCTGCCCCTCCCCTCTGCTCATGCTCTTGCTCTCTCTCTCAAATGAATAAATTAAAAAAAATTTTTAAAGATTCTCTCTCTCCCTCTGCCCACCCCCTTTTCTCTCCCTAATATATATGTATATTAAAAAGATGTTGGGGAGGGGGGCAGGGGGATAGGTTAGCCTGGTGATGCGTATTAAAGAGGGCACGTTCTGTGTGGAGGACTGGGTATTATGCACAAACAATGAATCATGGAACACTACATTAAAAACTAATGATGTAAAAAAAAAAGATGTTTTTTAGGTTCCTTTAGAGACATGTTTAGTGAGGGGAGAAAGAAGGCACTTAGTCATCTCTGCTATGACAAGTTAAGTACAAGGTGCTCTGGAAGCCTATTGGAAAGTACTTAACCCAGAGTTTGGGGGGTCAGGAAAGATGTTCCTGAGGAAGTGATGTCTAAGTTGAAGTGGAGACACCTTGGCAAAGGTAGCCTGGAAGTAACAGTACATGAGGGGAAATGGAGGTACTTCTGCCTGGCTGGGGAATGAAGAACAAGATGGGGAGGTGCTGACAAAGAAATATGAAGACACTAGACCCTGAAGAGCCTTCTACAAAGACTGACCATTTAATTTATCGTACAAGCTGAGATCGACCTACTTTTCATTTTTTCTTTTTTTCTTCCTTCCTTTTCTTTTCTTTTTGAGATGGAGAGAGAGGTAGGGGTTGGGGCAGAGGAAGAGGGAAGAGAGAATCTTAAGCAGGCTCCAAGCCCAGCAAGGAGCCCAATACAGGGCTTGATCTCACGACCCAGAGATCATGACCTGAGCAGAAATCAAAAGTCAGACGCTTAACCAAATGAGCCACCCAGGCGCCCCCAAACTGAGACATTTCTGAGAGTGAAATGAGACAAGATTACTAATTATAAGGGACAACAGGAGTCAACCAGGACTGTCCTGAGCAAATTGGGACTTCTGGTCACCCTATTTATTTTTAAAGATTTTATTTATTTGACAGAGAGACATAGCCAGAGAGGGAACATAAGCAGGGGGAGTGGGAGAGGAAGAAGCAAGCTTCCCGCTGAGCAGGGAGACTGATGCGGGGCTCGATCCCAGGACCCTGGGATCATGACCTGAGCCGAAGGCAGATGCTTAATGACTGAGCCACCCAGGCACCCCAGGTCACCCTATTTATAAATCATGTTCAGGTACTTGGACCTCCAGTGAAAGCAGGTATCTCTTCTCTTTTTACTTTATACATTTTGCCCGAGTGACTTCATCCATACCTTTGCCTTTACTTGCTCATTTCACAAATATTTGTCCAGGATGGACTTAAGGGCACAGAAGTTACCAAGAAGACAAGACATAGTGTCTGTTTTCAAGTTCTGTCTAAAGAAGACACACATCCAAAGAAACAGTTCTGATACAGTTATACACCTTGAAGCTCTAATACATATCTAATATATATCATTTCCACTCAGATTGCAAAACAAATCCAAAACAGAACTTTTAATTTCTCCTCCAAATCTGTTATTCCTGCAGCTGGTTTTACAATTGATGCCACTATCCATTACATTGCTAAAGGCAAAAACCCAGAAAAGCACTGCCTTAAACAGTGTTACCCTTCCTCTCACTGTGCATTTTAATTTCTCCACATCTTAAGCACAATGACTAAATTGGGGCTAAGAATTCTAATGAGGGCCTAACATCAATTGAAGCAGAGGGTAATTTTCAGGTGCTTGAATGCTATGTTTTTAACGAATAGATCCCAGTGTTAATGTGGGATTGTTTTTTCCACAATAAAACAACACTGATGACTCATATTCAATTTGTTGACAATCATGACATCCAGATCTGGATATATGCCCTAGCCAGTCTCAAGAAACTTCAGTTTAGGCGAGAAAGACATGAAGACAAGTCCTCAAGTGTCTGACCCTATCTCCTCTTTGTGGAGATGAGTGGTTGCAGAGGTATAAAGGTGTAGGTGAAACACCAATGTTGATTAACTGTTGAACGATGGCTGTATAAAAGGACAATTAATGCTTTAAAGAGTAACTTTAATGTTTCTACCATCTTATTCTCCACACAGCTGCCAGACTGATCCTTTTAAAATAAATCTGATTACTTCCCCCACCATACACCAAGGAGTCATTCACGAGCCATCTCTGCAAAGAAACTGCTCTAAAAGACATAAAATTCGAATCCACCCTCCTTGGCAAAATAAGTTTTCCAAATTGTTAAACCCTAAAAAGAAGTCCCCCCCCGAAAAATCCAATTACTCCTTCGCTGTCAACCTTTGCATGGTACTCTACCACATCCCCCCAAAATCCAAAGTCCAACCGTGGCTTACGAGATGATGCATGATCTGGTTTCTGCCTGTTTCACAACTTATTTCTCTAATTTGCTGTACTGCAGCCACACTGGTCTCCTTGCTGCTTCTCCAACAGACCAAGCAAGTCCCTATCTCAGGGCCATTGCAACTGCTGCTCCTCTTCTAGTTTCCCTCTGGAAATCCACGTGCTGCCCCCCTTAATGATTAGGTTTCTACTTATGTGCTCTTTCAATTAAGAGGCCTTCCTTGTCTACCTCATCTAAAAGACCGTGCCCACATCACTCTTATCCCTTTATTCTGATTTATTTTTCTCCCATAAAACTTGCCACATTACCAGGCACTACCTGTTATTTAGTAATATGTGTATTGTTTCTTGTCAATCTCCCCCACTATTATGTGAGGCAGAGACTGTTTTGTTCGCTGCTGAGTTCTCAGCACCTAGAACAGGGTCTGCTCCTTAAATATTTGTTGGCTAAATGACTAAATAGATTTTCAGGATACATCAAATGTAAAACTACACTATAATAGATCTATTGACACGATGCATAGGAAAATATCTGGAAGAGTATACCAAAATGTTAACTGTTTATTTAACACAGTGGGAGCTGGTGTGAATTTTCGCTTCTGTGAATTTTCTGATTATTTTTTAGGACGAATTTGTAGCATTCATATACTAAAAGATGAATCAAGAGGCCACACCAGAAAATGCAAATGAATTTAAAGAGAAGTTGGGCAAATTTATGAAAGACAGACTTCTAAATAGATGTAAGAGCATAATCGTGCAGATTACCACGGCTTGAATCCCCTTCCCAGCACTTTCTAGCCGTGTGTTCCCAAGTTATTTATAAGCCAGTCTAAATGTCTTCACCTGCAAAATGGGGATAATAATAGTGCCTACCTCATAAGGTTGTTTTTGAAGATTAAATGACACCATGGATGCCACCTCTTTTGTAACAATGCCTGGCATGCAATAAATACTCGACAAATGGTAGCTATTATAATAATGAGTAGTAGTAATAAGAGATGTTGGGACATACCTAGCCCTCAAGATTGACATCAGAGTGGACCACCACATCCTCTCATCATTGCGCCTCAGTCTGGGCCCCTGAAGCCCAAAGAGGGGATGGTTCTTTCCAAAGAAGAGAATTTCGACGTTCCAGAAGCACCTGAATAAAACGTACCCTGTTTACCCTTACACCATTCAGTCTGGTTAATCCGCGAGCAGCGCTGCAAGAGCCGCTCGGCCTCAGCTGCCTTCGCGTCAACAGGGGCGGGGGTCGTGGGAATGTTAGGAACACAAAAGCAGGACAGCACCGGCCCGCTCCACCTCACCGCACTCTGGAGCGGCTCGAACGGCGGCGCCACGCACCGGCAAGCCTCTGGCGCCCGGCAACGCGCCTCACGCAAAAGGGACTGCTGCCCGGACTCAAGTCAGGCAAGCTGCTCAGTCCGCCCTAACCTCCCGGGCCTCTGCCAGAGAACCGCGGCGGCCGCGCGGCGAGGCCGAGGCGCGGGCCGAGCGGAGGGCTGGGGCGGCTGGGGCGGCGGCGGCGGCGGCGGCGACGGGGCCGCGAGGGCCTGGGCGGGGCGGAGGCGGCGCGCGCGCGCGCCTATGTCACTCGAGAGCGAGCACGTACCCCCGGGGGCGAGCGCGGCTGGCGGCTCCTTGGCGCGGAGCAGGGGTACTCGGCGAGGTGAGGCACGAGGCGCTGCGGGGCGGGTGGCGGCGGGGCGCGAGCCCCTCTAGCGGCCGAGGGGGTGGCGGGTGCGGCGAGGGGCGGCGGGGACGGGGGCGGGCTGCGGGCCCCGGCGGCGAGGGGGGAAACGCGACGGGCGGGCTTGCGGAGCCGGGCCACGCCGTGCTTGGGGGAGGGCGGTGCGGGCTCGGCCTGACTGGTCGGCCCCGCCCCGCGGCGTGCCTGGCGCGCCCCGCCCCTTGCGCCCCCTGGGCGGCCCTGCCCTGCCAGAGCCTCGGGATTCCTATTCGTGCCGTGGCGCGCGTAATTACGCTGGGAACAGCCGCTCTGTGTCGGGCACCTGACCGACGTTACATTTCGAGTTTTCAAGTAGGCCTTACACACTAGGTAGTTCAGCTCCATTTTGAGGCCGACTGAGGCTCAGGTAGAATGACTTGCGCAAGATCAAACAGCTTAAGGAACAAAGTGAGGAGCTCCGCCTTGTCTGCAAAACTCCAAACCCTGCACCTGTACTCTACACCACAGAATGCCATTCTTCGCGGTGCCTGCCTTCTACCTCCCAGTGACTTTGAATTTGGTAGATGTTAATTTGGAGCTACCCCCCACCCTTTTATGGATGTCAGTGTCAGAAATGTCTCTTGTGAGAAAAAAGGAGAGGAAAAAAGAAAATTCTGCTTTTTGCAATATTGTGCTTATGACGTGGAGTGTTTACGTATTCTTTACTTGACCATCTCTATTAACCTTTGTTGAAGGCCGCTGCTGTTCACTACCTTTAAGACATTGTGCAAGTAGCAGTCTTTCAGAGCTTCCTTTCTTCTTTGAAAAAGCAGCATGCTTGAAGGTTGTGAGGATTCAGAGATAATCCACATACAGTGAGTGGTACCCCAGTACCTGGCATATGAGAAAAGTCAGTAAATGTTGGCCATTATTTTATTACTGAGTGCATAATACCTCTTGCTAAACCCATTTTTCTTCAAGACTAACTCTTCCTGGGACCAGAGTAGAGCAAGAACCACCCTATCCCAGCCCACTTCAAAAAAGACAAGTTTATTGACAGCCATGTTATCTGAATGTCATACAGACTTAAGGATGAATTATACCCCAAGCTCAGCATACCAGGTGAAAGAAGTCACTCCAGGAGAACTAAAGATGAATTAACCTGTTGTAAAACTAACATTTGTCCATTACGTTTGGTTTATTGAGTTCTTTCTCTGTGTTTGGCACTTTGAAGTGTACAGATGTGTATTGGATAGTAGTCCCTGCTTTCATTTAGTCTACAAATGGGAAAAAAATATGCATTCAGAAGTAATCCCTCAAAAAGTAGAATGGTTTGCCAGAAAAGAGATAGCTAAGAAGCTGTAGGACTATAGAAGGAGAGATGTTTTCTTGACTTAGGGTGAAGTATGATTTCATTTCTGCCTTCAAGAAAATACTTTGTACATTGTTCAAACATTAAGTATTTATTCAAAGAGAAAGTGAACAAATGTATGTCATAATAGACAGGGTTCCTTGGTTTTTCATAATAGAAAGTCATTCATATTAAAGAATTATTAGAAAGATAGACAAATGAGAAAAAATCTAAACAGTTGGGCCACGCTTGGGGATGGGGATCTCAATAGCCAGAGCTCTGGACCAAATTCTTTGATTAGTGAATGACTGGGCCCCATTTGACGTCTGTCCTTGTATGTCTTACTCAAGATTGAGATTTTCATAAGAGATCTGGTGGCTTTAGCTGTCGGGGTGGGGTTTAGAGTATTGTGATTGGTAACCCCACCAGAACCATATGAAATGTGGGTGAGTCAGTGTCCCAATGGAAAGAGGATTAAGGAGAGAAATGATACTGGGTAGAGAAAAACAATAGTTGTTTATTAGAGATATGTACCTTTTATAGAGGGCTTACCAAGGGCCAGCCACCACGGTGCATTATTTATTTATTTATTTATTTATTTATTTATTTATTTATTAAAGATTTTATTTATTTATTTGAGAGAGCGAGAATGAGAGAGAGAGAGAGCACATGAGAGGGGGGAGGGTCAGAGGGAGAAGCAGACTCCCTGCTGAGCAGGGAGCCCGATGCGGGACTCGATCCCGGGACTCCAGGATCATGACCTGAGCCGAAGGCAGTCGCTCAACCAACTGAGCCACCCAGGCGCCCACGGTGCATTATTTATATGGATTTTGGTATTTAGTCTTCACAATAACTGTAGGAGGTAGATACTGTTTCTCATACCCACTTTACAGAGGGGGACACAGGCTTATAAAGACAAAATAATTGGGGAGCCTAGCTGGCTCAGTCAGAAGAGCATATAACTCTTGATCTCAGGGTCATGGGTTCGAGCTCCACATTGGGTGTAGAGATTACTTAAATAAATAAAACAGGGGTGCCTGGGTGGCTCAGTCGGTTAAGTCTCCAACTCTTGATTTTGGCTCAGGTCATGATCTCGGGGTCGTGGGATCAAGCCCTGTGTCAGGCTCCGTGATCAGTGGGGAGTCTACTTGAGATTTCTCTCTCTCCCTCCCTCAACTCTTGCATGCACTTTCTCTCTCTCTCTCTCAAATAATTCTTTAAAAAAAAAAAAAAACCCTTAAAACAAAATTTTAAAAAAAGATAAAATAATTTGCTTAGCATTACAAAGCTAGGATGTGGTAGAATTGAGTACATTGCATTGTCTTCTCTGCATCTTGTCCTTTTGAATTATTTTCTGATCCATATGCCACTTTTGTTTGTTCATAGGGAGTCATCAAGCTTTGGTGTATGTGTTGACCAGTTCTGACATCTCCTTGAAGGAGTGCCGCATTGAGGAAGATCAAAACAAGATTGTTTGCAAATTTTAGGGAATGGACCGTTTGGGTTCCTTTAGCAGTAAGTATAGTGGGAATAAGACCCAGGTGAATATTAACGGCAAACTCAAGTGGAAGTTGATCAAAGAAGAAAAATAAGCACTTTGAAGTTAAACAAAGCCCTGCGAATCTGATCCTAAAGGAAAAAGAGTATCAAATCAAAATAAAATTAACCAATACTTATTGATTGCCCACTAAACACATGACACAATCGTATCACCCTAGGTCTTGTAAGAAAACTATGCTCAGGCATATGATTAACCTGCAGTTAGACTTAAGAAAGTAGTTGGATTTCTCTTTAGATTCGGTAATATATTTTAGATGCCTTGATAAAAAATAATGTCAGTGGTAGAATAAAAGACATGCTTCTCTTCCCCCTCCCCTTTTAGGGGGAACTTGTGTTCTAAGAGTGAACCACAGTATAATAATAATGCAGAAAATTATGGTGCGTGTGTGAAATAAATTCAGGCAGCCACAGCTGTGGAGAAAAAAATACACTACCTTTTCTTTGTTTCTGATGATAAGAGGTTTGGCAGAAATAGAAATTCTGTCGTTAGATGTTAGTAGTGTCCCAATGAGAAGAAACAGAAAGGCACTTTTGAGGTATTGTTTCCTTTTCAGCAATATCTTAAAGGACCTCTTATTTACTCTCTCATCACACCTATATATGTATAAATTTAGGACAGAATGAAGGCTTCAAACACATCTAATTCAAATCTCTCATTTTACACATGAAGAAAACCTAAATGGATTTTCCTTATGCTGGAAGTGTAAACAAACCATTCCCGTTCCCTTTTTAAAATACGAAAATAAATAAATAAAATATTTTAAAACTTTTTATTTGGAATAATTTCAAACTTAACAGGAAAGTTGGAAGAATAAGTATTGTACAAAGAATCCGCATACACTGTTAACTTCTTACTCCATTTGCATGTATTCTGTTTCTCTATGAATATACATTATATACATTCTATGTAATATATACACTGTATGTAATATGTATTTATATGTTATAGTATGTTTAGGTAGATATAGATACCCCCCCTTTTTTTTTCAGAATTATTTAAGGGTAAGGGACATATATCATGGCCCTTTACCCCAAGCACGTTAGTGTTTATTTCCTAAGAATAGGGATATTCTATTACATAACTTCAGTAGGGTTATCAACTAGTAAATTAAACATCCATAAAATATTTTTATCCAGTCTACCATCTAGTTCATTCAGTTTTGTAAGCTGACTCAATTGTCCTTCATGGTGTTTTTTTTCCTTCTAATACAGGACACAGTCAGGAGTCGGTCTTACATTAATGCTATGTTTCTTTAGCTTCCTTTAAACTGTTCCATAGCGTTTGTCTTTAGTGACATTCACGCTTTTGAAGAAGACAGGCCCTTCCTCCCTCCCCTTTTTTAAAATTGAGGTTTCTTGTTTTGGGTTTGTTCTTGCTCTACACCTCATTGGTGATAATGGTTTTGAAAACCCAATCATAGTGTCTCTTTGAGTTCTCCACTGTATAATTTGTATTTTTCCCTTGGGTATAATAAACAACCCATAGGGAGACACTTTGAGGCCATGAAGTATCCCACTCCTCATCAAAATTTCTCCCTAGATTTAACATCCATTATGATTTTTCCTTGATCCAATCTTCACTATCATGCAAAATGACTTTTTTATGAATCCAGCACTCTCCACGTTTGCTAGTTAGCACTTAGATAATTATATATGTAATCATACAATTGTATTTATTACATGTAACATACGATATATATATAATTTCTTGATTATATAATCAAGAGATCTAGCTCCCTTATTTCACTGACATATTTATTGTAAGTGTGGACGTGCAAATTCCTGTTTTTTTTCAAGATTTATAATTCATTATCATACTTAATTATTTTGGCTCTCAGATTGTCCCAGTTTGACCCTTGTGAGCTCCTTCATTCTGGCTCCTACATCCTTAATAACACCCATCACTTTTTTGAGCATCTCCTTACCTTTTGCCTACATGTTCCAGGTGAATCTTACATTTCCTCTGCCCCAGCCCTGGAATCAGCCACTGCTCCAAGGAGCCCTGGTTCCTTTTAAAGAGAACTGATATTAGAGACCAAGATCTGGTCATTGCTACTAGCATGTTTTGTATCTTGGCTCATAGGCCCACAGAGCTATGAAATATATGTGCATATATGCTCTATACCTATACACCAACATACATACCTACTTACCCGTACATACACTTTTAAGAAATCATGAGTTCCCATTGATACCTCCAGTTCATCTGCATAAGCTTTTTTCTTGTTTTCCCCCATTCCTTATTTGTGTGTCCTTTCCTCAGTGAGAACCTTGACATCCAGCATCAGCACATTTACTCATTTGCTCAGTCTTCTAATACATCCAAAATTATGTCAGAATTGCTTTTCACATACCAGTGCATAAAACAGACCTCCTCCAACAAGTTCAGGATTTGTTAGCGTCACCCAAGACTGAAGGTATATTGTTAAATGTCCGTAAGTTATTGAGATTTTTTTTTCCTTTTCAGTGTGGTTACAGTGTTCTTCTGAAAAACTATTAGGTTCATCTGTTCATACTGCTTTTAGTTTTCCCTTTTTATATTTACTAATTCAATTTTTTAAATTTGAGGAACGTAAGTACACTTCCAAAAGTCAAAACTATACAAAAATATATATTTGGAGAATTGTTACTCCTTCCTATGTCTCTTCCACTCCATTCCATTCCCCCTTCCCAACCCCTTGTAGGTATCCAACTTCATTGTTCTCTAGTTTAGCTGTCCTATATTTCTTTTTGCAAAGATAAGCAGACATACATATATTTGTTTGGGGTTTTTCCCCCTCATTTTGTACAGGAAAGATAGCATCCTATGTGTGCTTTTTTTGAAGTTTGGTTTTTTTCACTTAATAGAATCTTCTGGAAATACTGTTTTAGTTTGTAAAGGTTGTTCTCACTCTTTTTTTTATAGTTGCATAGTACTTCATTGTGTGGGTACTCCAGTACTCTCCAGCATTTGGATAACTAGGTAGTATTTTGTAATTCCAAATAATGTTCTAATGTATTCCCATCAGCAGTTTATGAGAATGCCTATTTTTCCACATTCTTACTAAGAAAGCATTATCAAGCTTTTGAATTTTTGTCAGTCTGATGGGTGAGAAGTTATATCTCAGTCTAGCTCTCTCTTAGGAGTGAAGTTGAGTGTCTTTCCATATGTTTAAGGGCCATTTATTTTGTTGTTTTTTTTTCTAATTATCTCTTCATTTTTTTTTTGCAATAGGATTTTTGTTCTTTTTTCCCCTCAATTTTTAAAAGTTCTTTGTATATTGGGGATGTTAGTCCTTTATCTATAATATGTTTTCAAATATTTTCTTCTAGCTTATTTGCCTTTTTATATTGCATATGGTGTTTTTTGCCAAGGAAGTTTTTTGTTTGTTTAGGTAGTCAAATTTATTAACCTTTCATTGCCTTTGGATTTTGAATGATGGTAAAAAAGCCTTTCCTTACTCTTAGGTTATAGAAAAGTTCTAAAATATCTTTGTGAAGGATAGTTTGGCTATGTGTATCAAAAACCCTCTGCACGCTCAATAGTTCTAGTTCTAGAAAAATATATATTCTGAGGAACACAACAGCATTCTTCATAATAGTGAAAAATTGGAAACATAAATGTCCACCAGTAGAGAACTCATTAGATCAGCTGTTTTCAACCTTACGAGATCCCATGTTTTTCTTTTTATAATATTTTTAGAGCCCATTTCCTCTTTGGAAATGAAATACATAGATAACATAACACATCTACACCCATGATGTCAAAGAAACAAATAGTAATGCCCTAACTATAATACAAAGGATAAACAAAAGAGAAAAATGAACTAATGTAATTTATTATAAAATAATGTGTATCTCAATGTTTAGACACGATTTCAGTAGAAGACATAATGACAAGTAGTCAGATGCTTGCACCCATATGTTGAATCACTGTGAAACTTACAACTACAAAAGCACAGTGATTCATGTGTGTTGTATTAGTGACTCAGAAATCCCACAAGCTTGAATAACTCTTGGTAAAGTTCCGAACAAAACAAGATATAATCTCCTGTAGAAGTACATGCAATTGCCTTCCTGGAAAATTAAATATATATTAAAACTGTCAAAAACATTTTGTTTTATAAGTAACATGGAATTAGGTTCTAGGTCAAGTAATTATGAACAGATTTCTCACCAACTTTGAATGTCTGACAGGTCACTTCTTTGTTGTGCAGGAATGTCTTGAGCCTTGTTGGATATCTAGCATCCCTGGTCCTCACCTGCTAAATGCCAGTAGTGCTCTTTAGTTATTGTGGCAGGAAAAAAAAAAAGCATTTCCTCAGATTTTCAAAATGCCTTGCTAGGGGGCAGTTGAAAACTATTAGGTTAGATGATTGACACAATGGAATATTATTCATCCATTAAAAAGAACAAGGAAGATGTAAGCATACTGTCATGAAAGATGTTGACAGTATATTGTCAAGTGAGAAAAAAGCCAATAAACCATACTATATAGTATCACTTTTGTTAAAATATTTACAAATGCATACATTGAAGAAAGGCTGGAACTCAGAATGTTAATAGAGGATGACTTTATGCTTTTGTTGTCTAAAATTTTTAAAACTACAAATTGGGTTACTTTTACAAAATAATTACTTCTTGATGTAAGGGTTTAAAAGCTCTACTTTGGTCAGTAACTGATTTTTTCCTGAGGAAAGAAAAACAAGCTTATATCATTAAAATAAAAGGATGTGAGGAAGAAGTAATTTGGTAAAAATTGTCATCTGACACTTAACATACAACAATTTTTGTTCTTCCATGTCAAAATTTGAAATGGGAGAAGTGGCGTAGTTGCTGTTATATATATTTATTTTGAAGCTATTGTCAGAAGGATTATGTTTCTTTCCCCTGTTATTTTCTTCCAGGTCTTCATTTAGAAACAAATGAACAATAATCATCACTTGAAGGAGGGAAAGGTGCCTTGAAGAGTGTTTCTTGGGCTTTAGGAAGGAAAATGCTATTACAGAATGTGAGAAATCCTGCCTCAGGCTAAGCAGATTAAATTCTTTCATCTACCATCAAAGCCTGTGTTTTCTTAGACCCCTACTGTTCATCACCGAAAACAACTCTAGAGAGGCAGAGTTTGGGGCAACCAGGGACACACATAATCTGCTTTTTTATCACTTTAGACAGTTTAGATTGTAGTTCTTGCCTTAATATTTCAGAGACAATACGATAATGGTCATTGGAACTAGAGGAAGGTGAGCTATGCTCTCTGCTTACCATGGGAGAAAGGGAGCTTTCCTGGGTTTAAATCTTAACTCAGATGTAAAGTAGTGTATCACAAAACATATTTAAAGGAGTTTCTCACCCCAACTTTTTACTATGAAAATTTGCGAACTTACAGAAAATTTGAAAGAACAGTACGGTTGGCCACTACCTGCATTCAACAATCATTACTATTTTGTCAGATTTGCTTCATCTAAAAATATATATGTGTGTTGTGTAAGTATGTAACATTTTCTCTCCTGGAAAAATAACCAGGAGGGAAAGCTTATGTTGGTAAATTTCTCTGCAGGGGTCATATCTACTTAAATGCTATCTATAGTAGTAGATACTACTATAGGAAGAAACAAAGCTGCCTTCAAAGAAAAAGGAACGTGATTTTTTATTTTTCTTATTTAGAAAGAGCTCATCTTGTCTCCATAAGACAAGCTGAGTCTTCCACACAGCTCACCACCTGTGTAGTTATTTGCAGATTTTCACCTTGCACTTTGGTAATCATAACATGTTTTAAAGCTGATAGATTTTTCTTTTTGTTCTAGATGATCCCTCTGATAAGCCACCTTGCCGAGGCTGCTCCTCCTACCTCATGGAGCCTTATATCAAGTGTGCTGAATGTGGGCCACCTCCTTTTTTCCTCTGCTTACAGGTAACTCATTAAGGAGAGGCTTGCCTCTCCTGGCCTAGTTTTATGGATATAGTAAATTCAGAGATGACTATCAAAGGCTCAGAAGAACCATACCTTGTTAAATCTATTCCTTCTACTTGGTCTTTCATTACGCATTTTACCAATGAAAAGTTGGGGAACAGAGCAGATGGATGACACAGACTGTTGAATATTCTATATCTCTGTATCAGCCTAATGCTGAACACTGTTTTTGCCAGTAGATTTAAAGTATTGGGACTACAGGAGTGCCCGGGTGGCTCAGTCAATCGGGTGTCTGCCTTCAGGTCAGGTCATGATCTCGGAGTCCTGGGATCGAGCCCCACATCGGGCTCCCTGCTCGGCAGGGAGCCTGTTTCTCCCTCTCCCACTCCTCCTGCCTGTGTTCTCTCTGTCTCTGTGTCAAATAAATAAAAACCTTCAAAAATAAAGTATTGGGACTATAGGAAACAGAATTGGAGGATTATTCCTTTTTTTTTTTTAAAGATTTTATTTATTTGAGAGAGAGAGAATGGCGGAGAGAGCACATGAGAAGGGGGAGGGTCAGAGGGAGAAGCAGACTCCTTGCTGAGCAGGGAGCCCGATGCGGGACTCGATCCAGGGACTCCAGGATCATGACCTGAGCCAAAGGCAGTCGCTTAACCAACTGAGGCACCCAGGCACCCCCAGGATTATTCCTTTTGATAGCACCTATGATGCTGTTATTGAAGAGTGATCTTTGGGCAGGTGACAAACGAGAGAACAAATCATTCTGTGGATGATGATAGTAATAATACTAATTACAAGTGCTTACTTTGTTGTTGGGCACTATTTTGATTCACTAATTTATGTGAATTAACGTTTAGTTCATCACTATAACCCTATGAAGTAGGTATGATTAGCATCCCCATTTTATAAAGGAAACTCAGGCAAAGAGAGTTTAAGTAATTTGCTCAAGGTCACACAGCAAATACCATATGTTATTGGCTCCAAGATGCTATTGATTATAAGAAGCATCCCAAATTTAGAAATGATAAACGGCTGATGGAAGTTGTAATATACTTTTTATTATAAGATGAATCCTGATTTTGGAGTTTTAAAATAAAAAAATACCTGTCTTAGAATTGCCTAAATACTTAAGTTTGGAGCCAGGATTCAAATTTACTCAGTCTGATTCCAGGGCTTATGCTCTTATCAAAAGAGGCGAAGTCCTAGAAAAAGTCTTTTTTTCAGATTATTTTTTCCTCTGTGAGGGCCACTGAAGAGCTGTGATCAGGTATGTAACCATCCTCTTGCGGCTGCAGACAAGATTAAATGAATTCTTAAAAAGTCATCGTAAGAGTAGAGCACCCCCAAACCATCTTTTATCCTATAAGAAGGCATTTCAAAAAGTAGCTTTTTGGTAACTTACTTTTCCTTTCTCTTGCAGTGTTTCACTCGAGGATTTGAGTACAAGAAACATCAAAGTGATCATACCTATGAGATCATGGTAATGGTGAAGTTGCAGGGAATTTCCATTCATTTGTCAAGTGTTGTACTGGGAATGTCTATTTTTCTTCCTCTCCAAGTATCTCCTTCCCTTTTCTTTCCTCTTCTTCTGAATTAGGTAATCATTTCCTAGTAAGTGTTTTAGGGTTTTATGGACTACTAAGGCATTTAAGTCTAAAAATCATTTTATATACTCTGATTTTTGTTTCAAACTTGGAAGGAATTTGAGGGGCTCCTGGCTGGCTCAGTCAGTAGAGCATGTGACTCTTGACTTCGGGGTTGTGAGTTCAAGCCCCATGTTAGGGGGAGAGTTTACTTTAAAAAAATTCTAAAGATTAAAAAAAAGTACTGAGATTTACTGATGTAAGGATAAGAAGTACACTGTGTTTTAGGTTCACTGATAAACATATAGTAAATGTGTTGTTGCTGTTTTTGGGCTAATGATCTTACTATGTGGTTCATGTGGGCAGTGGTGAAGTTTACGTCTGGCACTCCCTCCTCCTGCCTTGGGGAAATTAGTTACCCTCTGAGAGTGAAGTTATAAAATGAACATTGAGTGAATGATATGATAGACTGGCTTATGGGCCAGAATAAGACTTGGCTGGAACCTGATTGATTATATTGCCACCTCTAAAGAAGGAATGAGAGGCAGATGTTGGTAGTGTCCCTTCCAAGTTCTAGCCAGAGGAATGGGCACTTTGATAAGCCAAAATGAATATCTGGTCTGCTTGGCAGGTGTATAGATCTTTGTCAAGATAGTTTTGTCAGTTATCAGAAAATAATTCACCAAGTAGTTTTCTTACATTTGGCCTCCCATTCAGTTTTTTTTGTTTTTTGTTTTTTTTTTTACAGGAAAGAATACTGGCTGGGCATCTTAACAGTAATAATTTCACATTGTGAATTAATCCATTTATACTTGTATTAGTTTTCTATTGCTTCTATACCAAATTATCAAAAATTAAGTGGCATAAGATAACACAAATTTATTGTCTCACAATTCTGTAGGTCAGAAGACTGTTAGGCTCACCTTGTTTGCTGCAGGTCCCATAATGTGAAAATGAAGGTGTTGCTAGCCTGGGCTTTATCTAGAGGCCCTGGGGGAGAGTCTGCTTCCAGTCTGCTGCTATTCTCATTCAGGTTGTTGAATAATTCCCCACCTTGAGGTTGTAGAACTGATGCCACTCTTCCCTTATTGGCTGTTGGCCAGGACTTGCTCTCAGACTCTTGAGACCTTCCTTTCTCCATGTTCAAAGCTAGCAGTGTCCAGGAGTTCTTGAGGGTGATTGATGAAAAATGCCTGGAGTCTTTTTGACCTCTCCTGTTTCCTCTGTGCTGATCTCCTGCCTGCTTGCTTTCTTTTTCTTTTTCTTT